GTTCAGCCATCCTCCAGGGTGATAGTTCAGTCATCCTCCAGGGTGATAGTTCAGTCATCCTCCAGGGTGATAGTTCAGTCATCCTCCAGGGTGATAGTTCAGTCATCCTCCAGGGTGATAGTTCAGCCATCCTCCAGGGTGATAGTTCAGTCATCCTCCAGGGTGATAGTTCAGTCATCCTCCAGGGTGATAGTTCAGTCATCCTCCAGGGTGATAGTTCAGTCATCCTCCAGGGTGATAGTTCAGCCATCCTCCAGGGTGATAGTTCAGCCATCCTCCAGGGTGATAGTTCAGTCATCCTCCAGGGTGATAGTTCAGTCATCCTCCAGGGTGATAGTTCAGTCATCCTCCAGGGTGATAGTTCAGTCATCCTCCAGGGTGATAGTTCAGTCATCCTCCAGGGTGATAGTTCAGCCATCCTCCAGGGTGATAGTTCAGCCATCCTTCAGGGTGATAGTTCAGCCATCCTCCAGGGTGATAGTTCAGTCATCCTCCAGGGTGATAGTTCAGCCATCCTCCAGGGTGATAGTTCAGCCATCCTCCAGGGTAATAGTTCAGCCATCCTCCAGGGTGATAGTTCAGCCATCCTCCAGGGTGATAGTTCAGTCATCCTCCAGGGTGATAGTTCAGTCATCCTCCAGGGTGATAGTTCAGTCATCCTCCAGGGTGATAGTTCAGCCATCCTCCAGGGTGATAGTTCAGCCATCCTCCAGGGTGATAGTTCAGCCATCCTCCAGGGTGATAGTTCAGCCATCCTCCAGGGTGATAGTTCAGTCATCCTCCAGGGTGATAGTTCAGCCATCCTCCAGGGTGATAGTTCAGTCATCCTCCAGGGTGATAGTTCAGCCATCCTCCAGGGTGATAGTTCAGCCATCCTCCAGGGTGATAGTTCAGCCATCCTCCAGGGTGATAGTTCAGCCATCCTCCAGGGTGATAGTTCAGCCATCCTCCAGGGTGATAGTTCAGCCATACTCCAGGGTGATAGTTCAGCCATCCTCCAGGGTGATAGTTCAGTCATCCTCCAGGGTGATAGTTCAGCCATCCTCCAGGGTGATAGTTCAGCCATCCTCCAGGGTGATAGTTGAGCCATCCTCCAGGGTGATAGTTCAGCCATCCTCCAGGGTGATAGTTCACTCATCCTCCAGGGTGATAGTTCAGTCATCCTCCAGGGTGATAGTTCAGCCATCCTCCAGGGTGATAGTTCAGCCATCCTCCAGGGTGATAGTTCAGCCATCCTCCAGGGTGATAGTTCAGCCATCCTCCAGGGTGATAGTTCAGTCATCCTCCAGGGTGATAGTTCAGCCATCCTCCAGGGTGATAGTTCAGCCATCCTCCAGGGTGATAGTTCAGTCATCCTCCAGGGTGATAGTTCAGCCATCCTCCAGGGTGATAGTTCAGCCATCCTCCAGGGTGATAGTTCAGCCATTCTCCAGGGTGATAGTTCAGCCATCCTCCAGGGTGATAGTTCAGCCATCCTCCAGGGTGATAGTTCAGCCATCCTCCAGGGTGATAGTTCAGCCATCCTCCAGGGTGATAGTTCAGCCATCCTCCAGGGTGATAGTTCAGCCATTCTCCAGGGTGATAGTTCTGCCATCCTCCAGGGTGATAGTTCAGCCATCCTCCAGGGTGATAGTTCAGCCATCCTCCAGGGTGATAGTTCAGCCATCCTCCAGGGTGATAGTTCAGCCATCCTCCAGGGTGATAATTCAGTCATCCTCCAGGGTGATAGTTCAGCCATCCTCCAGGGTGATAGTTCAGCCATCCTCCAGGGTGATAGTTCAGCCATCCTCCAGGGTGATAGTTCAGTCATCCTCCAGGGTGATAGTTCAGCCTTCCTCCAGGGTGATAGTTCAGCCATCCTCCAGGGTGATAGTTCAGCCATCCTCCAGGGTAATAGTTCAGCCATCCTCCAGGGTGATAGTTCAGCCATCCTCCAGGGTGATAGTTCAGTCATCCTCCAGGGTGATAGTTCAGCCATCCTCCAGGGTGATAGTTCAGCCATCCTCCAGGGTGATAGTTCAGCCATCCTCCAGGGTGATAGTTCAGTCATCCTCCAGGGTGTTAGTTCAGCCATACTCCAGGGTGATAGTTCAGCCATACTCCAGGGTGATGGTTCAGCCATACCCCAGGGTGATAATTCAGCCATCCTCCAGGGTGATAGTTCAGCCATACTCCAGGGTGATGGTTTAGCCATACCCCAGGGTGATAGTTCAGCAATCCTCCAGGGTGATAGTTCAGCCATTCTCCGGGGTGATAGTTCAGCCATCCTCCAGGGTGATAGTTCAGCCATACTCCAGGGTGATAGTTCAGCCATTCTCCAGGGTGACAGTTCAGCCATCCTCCAGGGTGATAGTTCAGCCATACTCCAGGGTGATAGTTCAGCCATACCCCAGGGTGATAGTTCAACCATACTCCATGGTGGTAATTCAGTGCTCAGTGGTTCCACGTTTCTAACAGGAGTAAATCGCTGACGAGTGAGACACATGTGCAACAACGTGAGCCCAGCAGTAACAGCCTAGTTGATCAGGCCCTGACCTACCGGGAGGTGTGGTCATGGACCTCGCCGCGGGGGCGTTGATCCCCGGAATACCCTCCAGGTAGACTCCAGGAGGTAGACACCTGTAAATCATTGTTGACGAGATGTTTCGCCAGCCAGCTGTTTCGCCCTCACTGGATATTCTCTGCATATATGTCTCCAGTATATATTTTCAGTATTGAACTGATAAAGTCGACTGGTTGGACGATAACTCGTTAGTGAAGACTTCCAGGTGTTGCACATTTCTCTCATTTATCAAGATGTTGGTATTGTGTTCCATTTATGTTGTGAAATAATTTCTTGTTTTTTTAATAACTTACGTTTGAGTGAAGGTCAACTTTTGGGGAAGTTAGACGTAAGCAACTGTAATGATACTGTACACAAGGGTTCAATAACATCAACATTTTGAGTTGGATTCTATTACAACATCACGAGTCAGGATTGGAACCCCCTCATATTGCTATAAGTTTGGACTGGATCTCATTATAGCTGTTTGTGATAAGATTGGATTCCATTATAACATGACTGAAAGAGATTGGATCCCGTTGCGACGTCATAAATTGTGAATGGATCCCATTATATCACAAGTTGGGATTGGATCTCATTATGACAGGACATGGGATTGAATCCCTTCGTAATATTCCTGCAGGATGTGATTAACGAAGGGATATGGTTACTCTGCTGGATACTAACCAAGAGAATTTTTTTATTATAATCAGAAAAAAGCGCTAAACCACAAGGGTTATATAGCGCAGTCTAACCAAGAAGAAACAAGAGATGTTGCTATGGTATTTCACTAACGAACAAGCCAAATATAATAAA